GGAGGGGCCGGACCAGAGAGAGGAAGCCCTCCCCCACGCCCAGCTGAGACATGGCGCGGAGGAGAAAGCCGCGGTCAATGGTGTCATAAGCCTTGCGGAAGTCACAAAACACAGCAAGGGCAGAGCGGCCCAGGCGGCGAAGGAGGTGGGGGAGGAGCTGGAGAGCCATAATGTTGTCGCCGATCTGGCGGCCAGGCACAAAGGCCGCCTGCTCAGGATCGATGATGTGGGGCAGGCAGGGGCCCAGGCGGCGGGCAAGGATCAGGGCGTAGATGCGGTACTCAGCGCCCAGCAGGGTGATGGGACGGTAATGGGCAGGGTCAGAGCGGTCGCCCGCCTTGAAGAGGAAGGTGATGAGGCCCTCATGAAAGCGCGGGGGCAGGGCGCCGGTGGAGGCGACGGCAGAAAAGAGGCCGGCAAGAATGGGAGCAAAGGGGGCACGGAAGCGGCGGTACAGGTCGGGCGGGATGCCATCCAGCCCCGGCGCCTTGCCAGGCTGGCCGCGCCTCAGTGCGCGGCACACCTCCTGCTCAGTGACGGTGCTGCTCCCCAGGCCTGCTGCCTGCTCTGGCGCGAGGCGCCGGCCACCCCGCAGGGAGGCCAGCACCTCCTCCTGCGCGGCCGCTGTCGTGGCGGGCTGTGCTGCCACCCCCGCAGAAAACTCCGCTGCCCGCTGAGCCGCTGCGGGGCCGGTGTGTAGGGCGCCGCCGGCACCGCGCAGCGCCGGGACGCTGGTGGCCTGCCGCGATAGGCGCAGCTTGCGCGACAGGGCAGGGCTGGCCCGCTCGCGGCAGTGCAGCCAGCTGTGGCGCCGCGCCTGCGCAGCCTCAGCTGCGCCCTCGGCGTGGGCTGCTCGCCGCCAAGTGCTGTGTGCTGCCACAAGGTCGGGCAGCGCGCCGTCGTCGCCCGCCCGCCAGCGGGCAGCCAGGCTGTCCAGCGCTGCCCTGGCTGCCACCACCGCCGCACCAGCCTCCCGGCTGGCGCGGTGCAGAGCAACACAAACGGCATACAGGCGGCGCTTGAAGGCGGGCCACCACACCAGGAGGGCGTGGGGGTCGGTAGGAGGGGCCTGCTGAGCCAGCCACTCCTCAAGCTGCTGGCACAGAGCGGGTGAAGAAAGAAAGCCGAGGCGCAGGCGGCGGCGCT